CCTTCCTTACTTCCTTCCTGCATACATACATACATACATACATACTAAATGCAGACATACATGCATGCACAATTTACATACAATTACATACATGAACACGGGCACACGCACTCAGGCACTGCTACACATGCACGCACGCACGAACAAATCAAATTAACAAACAAACAAACAAACAAACAACAAACATACAAACAAACAAACAAACAAGCAAGCAAGCAAACAAACAAACAACACACCCACACACACACACACAAAGAAACAACAAAAAGAAAGAAAGAACCAAACAAACAAGCAAGTAAGCAAACAAACTAACGAAGGAACGAACGAACGTACGAACGAACCGACGAACAAACAAACAAACAAACAAACAAACAACAAGCACACACACACAGACACAAGCGAACAAACAAGCAGCCACAGAGAAAAAACACAGGCACACAGAGACAGCTGGCATGTTCCACCAAGCAGCTTTCTGAAGCGGTTCGCAAAGTAGTTCGCGCCCTCCGAGATGGTGTAAGCATCTCCGCTTCCGTCACATCTCTCGATAACATGGCACTGCCCCAGTCGGATCAGCTTGCGTCTCATCATGACGGTGGGCTGTGAGTTCGCAACGTCCTCTCCATGTTGCGTTCACACAGTAATGCCAAAGAATATGTTGCTGACGCCAAGTGGGCAAAGAACCGGCCGCCCGTCCTCGTACATGTATGTGTTAAACAAGGGCCCAGTGGTCCGCCACCAGGTGCCGACAGGTGCGCCTGCGACAGTGGAGGCCTCGTTTCAAGTGCTCGCAGAGGGTATGAAATGAATGTATATAGAACCGGGATGTATGGGCGCATGACCAGTTGCATAGCATGCTTGAACAAGCGAGCCCTACTCTTGTTTTTAAGGCACCACAGAAGTAGCTGCCCGGGCCTCGTTGGAAGGGATAACATCAAAGGCGTCGCCATACCACATTGGCTTACGCTCGGCCAGAAGTGAGATCATGGGCACTAGGTTGAACTTCTTACCACCTGAAGCAAAGAGATTGAGAGATTGGTGGACGGCAAGGTAATGTCGGTTTGATTGTGTACACATATTCCGATTCCTGTACAGGAGTTGATCTCTGGGCCATATGAGGGCCATATCCGTACACACAGAAAACTGAAAGTGTATGTAGCCTTCTACTTTTTGACATCCAGTGCCACAAGTGATGCCCTGACAGGTAATCTGGGGGTTCATCAGCAGTAACTCGCAACATAGCTTGAAGCACCTAAAGGATTAAAGCCGGAGGAACTTTTACAAAACGTCATGTGTGAGACTTCGAAAGCACTGGGCCTTTCGAAGGTATCGACATTGCACTTTCTCCACCCTGCTGATGGTTCTATCTGCCCTGGCAGAGTGGCTTGTTTCGTCCCGCCCCCTGTGTGATCCATAGTACCCACTGCCACTGGACCCTACAAGTAAGGTTTGTTGCTCTCCGACGGCCACCGACCAGAAGGTTTGTGTTGTGTTCCGCTCGTTTTTGGCTCCACAACCATGCGGGGTGGGGACCTCTGGCCGGGATGGTGTGTTTTGGTACTATATAAGTTCGCTCTCGGTGTGTGTTTTTCGGCTCCCCGCAATCAATAGAAACAATCACTGTTTGTCCACTTCTAGGCATAATGCCGTCGACGGAGTTGTAGTCTGCACTTGCCTCTCGTTTGGTTGAAAGCCTCACCCTGGCTCTCCACGAATCAGATATCGGGCGCCCTGCTCTCTTTGATGTAGTCTTAGCAGCAACCCGATTCCGGCGTTCCCACAAAGCAACAACGAGGGCTGTGACTGGCTCAAATCCGCACTACCGGTTGAAGGGCCAGCAATGATTGCCCCAAGGATTTGTAGAAACGCATTTGCTCTACCAAACGGTTCAGGAAACGATTGAACATCTTTGCCAACTGCAACCCAAGCATCCAGCGTCGTCTTCACCTCCTCCAGGATAGTCATAGTCTTTAAGCCGGTCAGGAGAACAGCCAATGGTCGCATACTCCCACACAATTGCTTGCACTATCCAAACTAGGACGAAAACGACGGCCAAAACCTTATGCACCGCCATGTGAGCTACATCGCAATGCCGTCAAGGTCACGGGTGCCACTTCATGTCTCTCTCGTTTGTTAACGTGCCGCCCAGTTGCTAGCGCCAGGCCCTTTGCCAAAGACGTGCATGCCCTCCGGCACCAGCCCTTCACGCCGTCCTGCTGCCAACGTTGATGGGATGCCAGAACGGGGTGCTCATGCAGTTGGCTCCGGATGTATGTCTTTGGTGGGACCCCAATTATTTCCTCACCTAAACTTCCTACGATGGGCCTTCTGCGATCAGGCCCATCGGATTGGAAGATCCAGCAAGTGATTCGTGCTACGAGTACTGCTCCGACAACATTCAGAGAATTGGGTAAACGATCACACAACCTTCAGTAAAGATGGCATTACAACACCCGAAGTCTGCGTACTGGCTCGCCTCCTGACCATCCGGGAGCAGAGGCTCTGCAGAAGCCATCCTAACGCCTGCAGGATGTTGCTGTCACCCTTCGGGCCTAGATGGCTATCGCGGCCCTTATGCAAGGTTCTACCACAAGGTGGACATCACACGAGCAGCTTTGAGCTTTCGAGACGCCGGCTCCATGCAGATATGTCCCTGGCGGCAGAATTCTGTACGTCGCCCATAGAGTCCATAGCAGCTCCGGCAGCTGGTCATGTCGCTTCCAGACTCTCGCTGTCGGCGCTGCAGAGAGGTGCGGAAAGCAAGAAGGCCGACGGCACGCACAGTATAAAACATGTCGGAACAGCCGAAGATGCTTGCAGTCTCAGAAAACTTCTGAACCTCAGGGGAGCAATGCAGGACAGTTCCTCGAGCTCTCTGCAGCTTTCTAAGGTGGTGGCAGTCTGCTGCACGGAATCTGCCAGCTTTGCAAAGTCCTGCTGGACCGCTGCGGCCACAGTCCAACATGGAAGACGATAGTAATAGTAATCCGCCGAGGCCCCAGGCGTTTAGATCAGGGGGTTCGGGGAGTTTGGGTGGTTATAGTAGAGTAGTAACCCACCCCCTACCCCCTCCCAATGGCGCGATTTGGGTGGGGGGTCTTCCGGTCGGCTCCGATTTCGCTGCTTTTTTTTGGGGGGGGAGGGGGAGGGGGGGGNNGGGGGGGGGGGGGGGGGGGAGGTAGGATTTAACAGGACCTAAACTATTACCTAAAGCCCAAACCCCTAACCCCCAAACCACATCCCAACAAACCCCTCAACTCTGATTCTGACTCCCCCTGAAGCTCCTCCTTTTACCGTTTCCTGCTCTCAGGGGCCTCGGACTCCTCTTCGCCAGCGGCGGCTCTCGGGGGCGCCGAGGCCTGGTCAGAGGCTTACCCGAGGCTACAGAGGTGGGTTTCGAAAAGTAGGGATAGTAGGGAGGTTTAGTGGGTTTACGGCTTATAGGGTTTTGGGAGTTTAGCGTTTAGGGAGCTTAGGGCTGAGAGTTGAGGGAGGGGCCCTAAGAAAGAACCCCACCATCGCAGGGTCCTTGTTCAGAAGCACCCGGGCCTCTTGCGAGACGCTTGCCAAAGCCCTGAACTCCGACCTCGTTGTAGACTTTTGAATTTTGGGCTCTGGGCGGCGGGGCTTGAGATTACTTGGCCCCAGGCGCTGTCTCCATGGGAGCCTGCTTGCAGAACCTCGATGCGGCCCAGGAGCATCAGGACGCTGCTCGTATACAGATACTGGCAAGAACGCGACAACTAAGCACAAGCTTAAGTCGTCCACGCGCATGCAGCCGCCAACGTCTCTTCCATGATGGGCCCAAAATGCATGACCTTGCTGAAAAGCAATTCTCCTCCTCATCATCTTGAAGATGAGAGGAAAGAGACACCAACTTAGGCGACACACCGTGATGCTCGGGTCTTCCTGCTTTCGCGCTCGCCAGTTGGAGTGCAGGCCTCTCATGCTTCCAGGAGCCCTCCAAATCAATAGTGGCACTCCGGCATTGTAAGACGAGTTCCCCACGTGCCATCACCTCAGCATCTTCCAGGTCCAAGTGAAAAAATATCGAGCCGGAAGGCTTGCACTGTTTCTTAGGCGTGCGCAGCTGCATGTAACTCGCAGAAGGGCCTCGATAGGACGAATCATCGGGTGGGTGGACCACATCTACCGCTCTTGCTCGTTGTAGATCTTCTTTCTTTAGGCAATTTCTGCTGCTCGGGGCGTCGGTGGAGAGCCAGGTTCTTGAACAGCCGCCTAGTGAAAAATGGCACGCCATCTTCTGAGGTCATCGGTCTCGGGATCATGTTCCCTGCCGGAAGGTGGCTACTTGCCCCTCCCAGGCTTTTTGTAGGGATGTATGCGTACAGTTCACGGTCATGTTTGCAAAAGCATTTCGCGGCGAGCTGTTGGCTCTCGGTAACCGTCACTGGCGGAGCAGCTACATACATGACACCATTGAGCACCGCATGCCACCACAACTTTCCGGCTTTCCAGGCCGCATTGCGCAAACTCCTCGACTCACGGTGCTGTCGATTCTGAGGTCAAGCGCTCAATCGCAAGCTCCTTGCTTTCGATCCGCTGCCTGCAGAGGTCCGGAGGCAAACCGAGCATAGGCACTCTTCGGACTGCGGGTGAAAAGCGAAAAGACTGATTGGACTACTCATCCCCGTGCTCCTGCGTGTGAAGCCACGAACCAGACCCTTAGACAATTACCCATCCGGTCCTGGAGCTCGTCAAAAGCCTTCAGAATAGACAGGCAAATGTGATTTGGAGCCTCTTGATCATTTCCTGCATCCACTGCTGAACCGTTAGCTTGCTCGCCTCGCAAATCTGTGAACTACGCGAGGGGATGCGCTCTGCATCCCAGAGCCTCGCCGAGCGGGTGCACCAAAGTACTTACGCCAAAAAAAACTCAAATGTGCTACGTCTAAGCGGGGTCCTACCTACCTGTCATGACCGGTGCAACCGATTCCCTCGTCGCATGTGTGATGGAACTGAACATGAGCCGGAAAATTTTCTCAGCCGAAGGAGCAGCCCAAGCCATCCTTGACAAGCTGCAGATACCTGCGGAAGGGAAGGCATCAGGAAGGCGGCTCCGAAAGGCTCCGAATGCAGCGGAGTTTGCGGGCCTAGCCAAGTGTTGTGTGATGTTGATGCTCGCCACAGCGAACGGATAGTCGATCCCATCGCTTTGGGCCTGTGTCAGAGCCAGGTGCCGTGAAGTGCCGGCATCGCGTTGCTGTTGTCGAAGCCTCACGGACCATTTGGCTCGTGGCCAGGGGATACCTGCCAGTGTCAGCCCTGCGCTTTTCGCCCACTAACATCTGCATGCACAGATGCAGTTTGTGGTTGGCACGGACGTACACTGTAGTGGCTCCAGCCACTGCCAACGTCGACACGGGCACCGCATTACGAGCTCACTCTCTATAACGACTCACTGCCATTTTTCCAGCTCGAGTGGTGCCCGGTCCAGCAATGGCAACAGTGACCGCAGCAGCATCAGTGACAGCAACGGCAATGTCCGAGCACAGCGTGGCAAGGTTGTTGGTTAAAACAGGCTGGCACCGAAGCAGAAATCTCATACTTACATTCGGTGACTTCTGCATCCACCTCTCCGAGGCCAACAGCAACAAACGCCTGGACATGCCTGGACCAAAGTACTGTCGCAGCTCTGGACCGGGCCTCTCCGCCATGTGGACTAAGCAGTCGAGCCTCGCATTCTCAGACCGCAGGCTGACAGCTGTGCCACTCTTGGAGAGCCTCGCCCTCCAAAGACCCTGGGAAGCTTAAACCGTAAAGGCCTTAAACCCCGAACCCGACCAAGTCTCAGCAGCCCTTGAGAGTCTTAGAGTTGCAGTCACCCTTTGAGTTCCAGGCGCCAGGATTCCAGTGCGCAGGTCTGAGCGAGGATCGCAGGACTGGAAGCCAAGCTGTCTCCACCTTACCCGCTCTTTTTGGGAGTCTCAGAGTCTCAGAAGAAAGGGAATAGCAGGTAGTTCCAGATTTTCGAATCATCATGGGCAGTGCGGATTTAAACGCCCTCAGTGACGTTTCAAAGCCATGCCTTGGGGATGTAGCACCGAATCCGGCAATGGACTCCGCGGGACAAGGACCTGAAACAACCCCCCCCCACAACGGCCATTGCAGGCACTTCCATCTGCGGCGCCGGCGTGACTGCGCCGCGGCCACCAGCGTTGCGCCTCAGATCAAAAGTGCAATTCCCGTGGAATTTCTGATGCATAACAATATTTATACACAATATATGAATCTGTAGTGTAACGCATAGATCAATAAAGAATGTGAGGAAGACGTATGTAAATACATCGAACATAAAATTTCACTGAGGCAGTCCAAGCGGAAGACGCCTTCGATGAAAGATAACTTAGGATCCCGGCTGAGGCGCTGCAGCAGGCTCTCCAGCTCTGGCGCCTCCTGTGCCTCGATGTTCTAAGCAGGAGAAGGGGGCATCCCGAGGGACACGGCAATACAAAACAGAATCCCACCGGACAGCTGGAAGATCTACCATCTTCAAGCCGATCCATGGGAGTGTTCCCAGATGTTCCCTGTAGAGCACCTTCTCGTTCGCGCGGGCTTTCAAGCTCAAGAGAGCTTCACGCCTGCGACAATGAGCACTAGTCCGGATGAGCAGTGTGGCACCAAACAAGCTGTAGCCTTTTTAAAAGCCTCTAATCCGCGGGCGGCTTCTGTTCCCCAAGTTGGTCAGCAGCTTGAAAATTTGCCGCCTGCATCACCAGGAACGTGCCGTGGCTTGCAGGGGACACAGCCGCTGATTCGCTTGAAACGTTAAACAACTTGTCTCCATGCTCTGAGATGGCTCCTGTACTGCGAGGTATTGGTGCCCAGGTTTTGCCCGACAGGTTGGAACTTGTCATAAGTGGGTGCATCGTAGATAAATGAGTGAACCGGTTACATCACAAGCCTTAACGATGCAGGAATCAAAAGACTTGCAAACGATACGTGGGCAGCAATGCTGACATCGGCCGAAGCTTGGCTGTCGGTCAAGATTTGAGAGAAAACGCAGTGACTATAGGCCACAAAGTTGCACGTTGCACGTTGGCAATCCAAAGCGGACAGCGCGTCCAGAACGATTCTCTGAAGGGGAGGCTGGGTTGCAAACAAGCAGCTTATGACCTACTGGTATGACTCCTGAACTCCTGAGCCTCCAGATTCTTTTACGAAGACCTTCGTGACAGCCGGATGAAAAAATCACTCTACAAGATTGGTGAGGCGCGTTGCAAGATGCTTCAGGCTCCGGATGGCGCCAGCAGGCTCCGTCAGCGCTGCTGCGTACTCTACATTTGCTAGCACCGTGCCCTCGGTCATCTCCTTGTGCAGCTGCAGCAGTGCAGCAGCAGCCTAGCAAAACAGCAACAGCCAGGAACACGGTCTCCCAGAGTGTTCTCCCCAAACAGATTTTCCAGGCCGAGCGGCGGCCTCCTCGAAGAGTGCCTGAAAACTGACAAACAGACGCGAGACTCTCACGTTCTTATGATATTCCTTGCCGCATGTTATGTCGCAATATGAGCAAAGGCAGCATGACAAGAGTCTACCTGTAGAGCCAGGCTTGTGCTGCCAAGACACAGAGTGAAATTTGCTGCAGGCAGACAAGCTAAACGAGTCCACAAGAGAAGCATGTGGCCAGCGAGGATGCGGATGATGCATGGCTGGCAGTCCAGGAACTTGCTCAGCCAGCTTTCGCCTCAGTGGCAAGGGGCTGCCAAGCCATGCCTGAGTCATGAGCCTAAGCCTCAGTGCATCTGCAGCAAAGCCACAAAGTGGTCTTCAGAGTGAGTGGCCAACCGGTCGCCTGTCCACGAGAGACAATAGTCTGAGTCAGTGCATTTGCAGATTTACATTGATCCACCCGCATGGAAACACTTCGCGCCTGGATCGAGGATTGCAGCGCTAACACGCCTTGGAGGCCTGTCGCTTCTGTCAGGCAGTTGCAAAGCAGCTAGCTGACTGTCTGAGCCTCGCACATCTCTTATTGTGAGGCCACAACAACATGTGGTACGATGTGTTGAGTATGTGTCATTTCCTGCATTGCATGTTTCTCCCTGTGCCGCGGAGTCCTGGATGGTTCGGTGGGAGTCCACCAAACAGAGTCGACCTCAGCTTGCGAGCAAACCTACAGGGAATCCGAAAAGGCATATTTAGTTATGTATGTATGTATGCATGCGTAGGTGTGTATATATATATACCGATATAGATATAGGTCGCAAGAAATTAGACTTTGTTGTGCTTATGCACCACTGAAGCCGATTGTAAAAACGTCGCGAGCCGTTATGAGAGCTTCCCATTCCAGCAGGCATATGCAGAGGAACTGGCTCTCGCATCTGCAGGGAACTGCAAGTGTCAGGCCGTTGAACCCTGCAATGCCTCTTCCGCACAGCATTCTCAACTTGGTTCATGTATTATATTACAAACACATGTAAATGGCTTTACCATTTCATATTATGTTGTACTGTAATGCTCCGTCTTCAAGCACAGGTGTACTCCGACATTCCCATTCCCAAAAGCAACCGCGCAGTGGGAACATCCACATCTGCGGCAAGCTTGCTCCACATCGTGTCCTCTCTCTTGTTTGCTCCGTGTAGCTACGCAGGACAGACGGGACAAGGTCTTTGTTCCATAGTTACCCCAAGCCCCCCGCTGCAACGGTTTGAATCAGCCACGGGACCTGGCAGATGGTACAGGTGCAGCACCCCACGTCGAGGGCACCGGTGCATCCTGCATGTCAAAACCGACACCAAATGGTGAAACCAGCATGCCTATTGCAGGGATTGCCTCCTCCACGCCAACGTCGCTGGCTATACCAATGTCGTCGTAGTCGTCCCTTTCCTCCTGCTTTATTGAAAAGTAATCGAATTCACAACTTTCCAGTCCTGCCATGCCCTCCCAAACATGCCCGGACTCGATTGCGGGCTTACCTCTTCCTCCGCGCTGCAGGTACCAGGATCTGGAACCTCCCCGCGAACAGTCTTTCACCAGCCATTACAAAATCGCCGAGATTCAGCAAGTTACTCTGGAAATCATGCTTGGCTGCATCTGGCATATAGCTGATGGAGAGCCTCCAATTCAACGGGCTCCGCACTCCTCTTCTGACCTCGAGAAAGCTACTAGGATTTGTGCACTACCTTTGGAAGGATCTCGTTTGCTTCTCCCCTGTGGGAAGCTTGCAGGCCTACGGGAATCCATGTTGCACATGCATGGTCTTCGCAGGATCCGGCGAAACAAGTGAACCCCGCTGCGACGGCCCAATCAGTTTTGAATCAGGTGATCGCTTTCACCACCGCTTTTGGATAGATTCCACGTGAAACGCAACGCCGACTCAGCCACTTGCTGAGTGATGAGATGAACAGGTGCAACATCAGATCAAGCGCTCGATCTGAAGATGTGCAGCCCATGTCATAAATGAAAGAAAGGGTTGTACATTCTTGTTTGGTATGGCTCAATCTCACCTGGTACATAGACCCCTTGCTGGGCCTCCTCCATGGTTACCTTGCGTGGCTCCGGAGGAGGCGGCGGAGGGAGCGGCTGCTCTTGGAACTCGTTCCGATTCCCTGCTGTGCTCGGCTCTGCCTTCGGGCCGGAGTTTGATCCTGGGCCCATTGGACCTCCGGAGCCTCCGGCGCCGGTTTTCGACTTGGCCTGTCTTGGCATGCCTTCTTCGGCTGATTCTGCATTGCTCAGGCCACGTCGGGAAGATTGATCAAGGCCTGGTGAATCAGCTGACTCCTTGGCTCTTTGCTAGCATGTGCATATGCTTCTTCCGAAATCGGACTTGCCCACACCTTCCCCTGGCCTGGAAAACGGGAGGGGGCTGTGACAGAGAGCGTGCTTGCATTGGGCCCATGCATCCCTCCCTCCCTCCATCCATTGCCCCAGGGTTGATTTCATTATTTCGATGATTTGGGACCCCAATAAATAAAATAATCAAATAACTAAATCAACCCCGGGTTAAATTTGTTCGGTTATTCCCTCGCCTCCCCTCCCTCCCTCGCTTCCCTTCCCTCAGGCAGACTACGCCATTTGCATCTCGAGGCTCGGCGTCTGCTGCTTTGCCAATTTCTTGGGCCGCCGAGGATTTGCCTTCTGCATCTTTGGCAGCTAGGAACTCGTTGCTCTCTTCGGCCTTGCGACACATGCATGCAGCACTTCTTGTCGATGTCCTTGAACACCCAACCCTTAAGCCCTACAAAGCCCCATAGTGCAGTATAGAGCCCTCAACGCAAACATTTAGCTCTTCGGCATGCCTTTTCGAGCTGAAGCTTCCTCTGCGTAGCGCGGAGCTCAAGCAGATCCACAGGTCCGTCCTCCTGGCATGTGCGAGTCCGATTCATGTCTCCAGCTTCTATGTGGTTTTGGGGCTTTTGTTTCTTTGGGGGATTCAGGATTCAAGGACCTATTGCTGCCGAGCTGGGATTCTCGTGCCGGACCTGGCCGTACCTGTCGTGGGGGCGCGGTGGCGCTTGCTTGTTCTCATCCACGGGCGTTTTGTCTTCCCCCGGCGCCACCTTTCCAACTCTTTCAGTGCATGCTTGAAGCCGAAGGCTCGTCCGAACCCTTATGGAAACCCTTGTAATCGTCATCCTGATGCAAACCGTTCTAGGAAACCTATACTGGGGGCTGGGCAGGTTGGTCCAGGTGCTCTGGCTTGCCATCTGGGCCCATCGGCGGAGGTTTCTTGTAGCCAGAGTGTGGAGGCAGCAGCGGCCCTTCCGGTATTTTCAGTTCCTGGGATCAGATAAGGGCATATAAAGGCATATATATATATATATATAGAGATTTACATAAAAAGGGTTGCCGAAAGGCTATTAAACATGTTGCCAGCAGGGCTACTAAGGCTACTACTAGGGTTCCCCATGAAGGTGCACTTCCTGCCTATCTCACACGCTTGAGAAATGCCTCGCTGGCAAGCGGCAGGTTCCTTTGGCGGCGTTCTCTGGTCGGCGAGGATGGCTTCGGCGACCTTCTCCTCCAAAGCTTTGAAGCTCGTCCTGACAACTGGTGCTCTAGGGAAACTCGAATTGAGCGACAGCTTGCATTCACATTCATACAGTAGCGTGACAGTTTAGCTGCCTGGAGGTACATCCCCACAAGAAGTCGTGAGCTGTGGGACGTCCAGGCGTAGCGATCGGGTGCGAAAACCAGCCTCATCCTGGAAGAGCAAAGAGATCTGGGGCGAGAGTTGCTTGATGACATTCGTGTGAGCTTTGGTGACTTCTTCTGGCAGGCCGTTTGCAACCAGAGAAGAGCTTACCTGAAACACCTACGAGAGAGACTTGCAATGACTTGCAGCTTCGGCCAGGCGGCTCTGCCAGGTGAGGTCAGAACGGTGAATGCAGGGTGCGTCGCTGAGCAGTCCGTACTTGCTCATCTCAATCTGCCTAGTCATCTCCTTCGCAACATGGTCGGCCAAATGCATGCCGTCCTGTGTTGCTGCTGTGCCGGGCCAGGAGCGACATGCTGCACCGGCATAACTGAGTTTCGAACTAGGCTCGACTACACAAAGGTGGGCCCAATACTTTTGACTAAGTGCCGCTTCAATTGGAACTTGTCCATTAATTCTAACAGCTGTTTGAGCTCGAGACGC